TAAGTTACCCAAAAAGCACCTGAGAGGCAGAATCATGTGGAAGGAGAGGAGCTGGTAGGTTACCTTTGTCTGTAACACCAAGAAATGTTATGCTTAAGGACATAACAACATTGCCACGCACCCTGAAATTAAGTATGTCCCCTCCGCCTGGGATGTCATCGCTGCTTTTCTCTGCTTTTGCCCTTCTTTGCCCTTCTTTGTTGTTTAGCGGCTTTGTCTTTCTGACCTTTAGAATTACTAACTTCAAAAATTGGTGTATGATTGGCACGACTCTAGTGGTGCTGGGTTGCACGTTGTCTGGAGATGAACGTACATTTTGGGTTGCTGATGCTGACAAGCTCCTCTCTCTAGCCTAGGACTCAGCTCCTCTGCCCCCTCTTTTTAACACTGAAATAATTGAAATAATATTCCCAAAGCATAAAATCCATTTGCAGAACTAGTTTGATTCCTAAACTTTATGCTATGCTCTCAAGTGTCTTGCACGATCTTTTTAAACAAAACAAAACAAAAAACACAATATAGAATTGTAAGTGCTGCAAAATGGGGAAAAATGTGTACAATTTGCAAAATATTATAGCACACACCACACAACTTCAGATAGACAGAGAGTTTTTCCTTTAGGATCTTCTCAGGCCCCAGTAAGAGCAGTGCAGATCTGCAAATGAGTCACAGCTGCTCTAGTGATTTTGCTACTTGAATCCAACCTGGGACAGGGCAGATTGATAAGGGCATAAACTGAAACAAGAGAGACCAGATAGAAAGAGAAACTTTTTCATGATGAGAAAAGTTGGACGGTGCAGTTTCATTTTTGGAGATTTTTAAAGACCTAACTGGAAGAAGTCCAGAGCAATTTGGTCTGACTTTGTATCTGACTCCGCTTTGATCTGGAGGTTGGACTGGAGACATCCTGAGTTGTCTCACAATTTGAATGATCCTGTGATCCTAAGGCTATAAAAGTGAGACATCTAAAAATATAGAAATTGGGGAATTTCTGAGATTTTCTTCATAAGATTTGTGTGCTTGGTAGCAACCAGATAATACAAATGAGACAAAAAGCCACTGCTGAGAGTTTAGTCAGAGGCACAGTGTTCTTCTCCTTGTTGACTCTTGCAGTCAAATCATACACCAGAGAAATCCTCATTAATATCAGGAACAAAATATAAGTTTACATTCTCCCATTTCAGGATTGTGTTTCAAAATTCTGTTTCTAATTTTGGAATACAGATCTTCCCACTCGTTTGAATAAAATTGGCTCTTTTGCTTCTCAAACAGTAAAATACTTCCAGAGAACTCAGAGGACAATTTTGGAAATCTGGAGAGTTGGAAATCTGCATGGTGTTTACTCGGATAGTGTTCACCTGAAGGCTACAAGAATCAATTTCTATTCTATTCTACAACATGATGCGAATGGGTTTCAAACAATTTGGTAGCTCTGAAAAGCACCTCACATGCATGAATATGTTTTGAGCTGATGGTTTATGCCTGACACAATGTCATCTAGATTGCCTGTCTTTTTCACAGATGAACTAATGGTCTGAATCTACCTATTGTGAGCCCACAGTATCTTCAGAGAGGTCAGAGTGCAACAAAACTTAGGTCCTTATATTAATGATCTGCTACAGTAACAAATGTACTTTTTTCCTGCTTGAATATATTTCATGGGGAAATGGTTTGCTGTAGATGAAGGATTTGAATGATATATCTTACTCTTTTAATGTTTTTTCCTAGAGTCGATCAAATAATTTTTGATAGAACAACCTTCTGCAAAAATGCTTTGACAAAATTAGAATATGTTATAGGAACAAAAAATTTCAAACATCATATAACTAGAGAATTGTTAAATAATTTACTTCAGTCTTTCCATCTTGAGACTTTGAAACTTGTAGTTCTGGATACATTATGTTTGTTTTTGAATTATTATTTGTTTCATTTTTTATATTAAATCACATAATAACAGTTAATATCCCATGTGACATTTTTTATCTTACCTAAGTGGAATTTTTCAAAGATTATCTTGATGTCTCCTAATCAAATGTTTTGAAAATGTACTTCCACAAGAGCACACTGAGATTTAACTTTTCATGCTTATTCAGAGCAAAATATATATAAATACATTAGACCATACCTTTTTCCTGACCAGCAATTTATTACTGTGGAGCATTCACAATCAGTCAATAACATAATTTTCTGCATTTTTTCTTTCTCCTACGTTGGAATTTGCCCTGGGTGCTAAAGCATAAGTAAATTACTGTGCCCAAATGTAAGCCTTTTTGATTTCTCTAAGAAACTGAAATGGCAGAAAAAATGTCAGAGTTCAGGGAAAGAAAACCAATATAGAGCACTTTTGATTTGTCTGCATAGGTTTTGTATTATCTCAACAGCAGTTATCACAGAATCACATTGTGCTTTCTATCAGCTTTGTCTGAAAACTGTACAAGCAGAGATAATTCTGTTGCTAGTTGGGATGAGATTAAATTGAAATGAAGGTAAAAACAAATTAATTTTTGTCTGTAATAGTTGTGTATGGTACCAAATGTGACAAGACATTACCAGATTTGTTTTTATTGGTGTCATTAGTATGCTGTTTGCATATATTAAGTATTTTTTTGCCAAATTCTATGTTAATATCACAAGAACTCTGTCCTTATTCAAGTGCTTCATGTAGGAAGATCCTGTCTGTGCTATCTTTGAGGAGTATGTGTCAAGATCCTTGCTACCTTTGGAAAGGAGAGTGGGGAACAGACCACAGACCCGCAATTTTATTTTAGAAAATAAGGATACAAAATAGCAAATGATTCTTTTTGTTGTGGTTGGTAGATTTTCTCATATTGGAAGGAACTCAAATCTTCCCAGAAAATGTATCACGATAAGGCTGTTTCTAGATTTGTATCTCCTCTGAAGCACATTACATATATATGATTTTCTCTTTAAGGCTTCATGAAACTAGTAAGATATTGACAAATTGGATAGCTGACAGATTGGGGGAACTCAGAATCAAAATGGAAGCCTCGATTTATGTCATGATTTATGAACATACAGAAACTTAGACTTTGTCTTAATGCTGACTAAGAAGAAATATGAAATGCAAATGAACAACATCCCATTAAAGGCATATGGCTCTCATGAAGAAAAGCCAGAAGGAGGGATCTTTCCCCAAAGATGAGGCACAGACATCACAGCTACCTAGTGTGCATAGCAGGGCTCTGGTTGTGGTCCTCTTTCTGGTACCGCTGCATGGGCTCAGGAGCCACAATTTTGGAAGCTATGGCCCCATCACAGACTCTTCCCATATGGTGTGGGATTCAGCATGGTCTTGCATATCTCTGAATTACTGGTCATATAGCAATGTATTGCAACTGTATTGGCTCTACTATGTTCTTTTTAAAGCAGATCCAGGCCTGGGCCTAAAGGATGTGAAAACAATACCTTGGCAGCATGGGATGAAATTTGGACAGGCAAAAGAGATGCTGAATGGAAGAAATCTGAACATGACTGAGTGGGTTCAGTCTCTCCTTAAAGCATGGGGTTAAAGGAACAATTCTTGGCAGCTGTAACTAGACTTCTTCCTAAAGACATATCCAAATGTTTTCGTTGTTGTCCTCATGCTTGGAAAGAGTTTTTTTTTTTTTTTTTTTTTTAGATGAATTAGTATACTGTTCTTCAGTCTGTTGAGTGCTGCAGTCAATAAATCTGACAAGGCATTTCAAGTCCTGGGTGCATGTTGCACATCCAGCAGTTAATCTCATTGTTCCTGTTGTTTATATATCTTTGTACTGAACACATCTCTTGTGGTCTTTAGGACTCATATGATGTTCTGTGTTTGTACAACACTGTGTTTGTGCAGCATGTAAAAAATGAAACTCTCATCCATTATTTAAGGTCCTAAAGTAATACAAAAAATAACTAGATGAAGTCAACTAACGGAAATAATAAGTTTATCCAGGGAACAGCTACATTTCAAACAAAGGTAGAAAACACTTGTTTCAACTTTTCTACTTCTAATTCCTGAAGTGGGTCACTCATTTATTTTTAGCTTCCTGAAAAGGAGGAGGCAAAGACTACAGGAAATTTAGTTTCCTTGTGTAGGATTCCTGGCTCTATTTAGGTTCTGTGGTTTGAAAAGACCTAGTAGATAATCCTGTCTCTATCCTGCTACCTTGCAATACTCACAAATGTCCCTACTGAATCCAGCTAATGTAATTGTTGAAAGGAATCAGTAAGACAATCCTGGATGAATTATACATGTCTTTCCCCTCTGAGCTTATCCCCTCATTTCCAAACTCAATCCTCTACTCCACACATCTGAGTGAGAAAGAAGTTTATGGCAGCATCTCTGCTGCTGACATTCTCATAAATACTGTGAGGTGCCTGAACTCAGGTATGCAGACAAAATAAAAAAGGCCATTTATGCAACATCTGAATGAACAAGCTAAGAGTTCTGCATGGTTTGTATCCTTTATTTAAGTTTTAACAGGATAGAATATCAAATGTTGTCCCTGCTGGTAAGTATTTCACCATGGTTAGATCATAGCAGAATTAAAATCATGCATTCTCTGGGTTTCTTTGGACTGGCAAGAAATGAGATGAGGTTTGTTTTTACCCTCATACTAAAACAAGTTTTTTTTGTGGCTTTGTGCAGCCATAATGCAGTATTTTTCAGATCTAAAAATAGCAACTAATAAATAAAACAACCTTTTATTGATAACTACTTCTTCCTTCTGTTAGGAAATATAAAACAGACAAGTCTGCATTTTGTCCTGTAAAGAAAGCAAGCTAGGGAGCACATGTTTATGAACATATATATATTTTTTTACTTCAGATGCCAATATTTTTTTGTGTGAACTTACTTGATGTGTAAATATTTAATGGTTCCTTTCTCCGCACTACAATCTATTTTTCTGTGTGGTAGTAAAAGGATCCTTCAATACTGTGGACCAAATAAATAATGTATTATTTTGTCATGAAAAATGCCAGAGGAAAATAAATAGAAGATATCTTACCTTTGGTCATCACAATTCCTGCAAGAGTTTTGTGGCGTGCATGCGTGGAAGTAAAATTGTCTGTCAACTCCTGGAACTTCTGCACAACCATTTGGTATATGGAGTCGGCAAAATCCTGAAAGACACAGTCAGAAAGAATTCTTTCACTGTCTTTGATTGAGGTACTTGGGCGTTTCTGCAGATTAGTCACCTGCTGTCAGCTTCTGAGCAGTCCCTTTTAGAATTAGACACCACCTACCTGAGCAAAAATGAAAGGAAAATTTCTTTGTCAGCTAACGGCATCCACTGTGGAAATGCTCTGCGCTAGGTTCTGAGACTAGTGTGTTAAAGTCAAGTTTCATATTGAGTAGGGTTAGCAGGGAGGGAGGAGATTTCAATGTTGACTTTTCTTCAGCCCTTCAGTTAAAGAAAATTTGCTGTTTCTCAAAGAACTTTGTTATAGACGGCTGAAGATATGTACTGGTGTCCCACCAAACCACTTAATAATAAGAGACATGGAGTAAGAATCACCTGTTTCGGGGGTTACTCTTTTTAAAGATGTACTGGTGTCCCACCAAACCACTTACTTAATGATAAGAGACATGGAGTAAGAATCACCAGTTTTGGGGGTTACTCTTTTTAAATATTTTTGTTTGTAATGAATGTTAAGGCATGAAAATTTCCACCAATCTATTGAAGCCTGAGAGCTTAGCTGAGGTCTGAGTTACAGGGAGGAGGTCACAGAAACCCCTATTTCTGAACTCATAATGAGTCTTTAATGATTCATTGCTACTGCAGGAAAAATTTCTGCTAAGGAATAGCAGCTGCGTTTAATGTTGTCAGAAGCCTACCATGACCTCTTTAATTTCCACCTTGACAACCACAAGGATGAGGGAACTTCTGGTTGTACCAGGGATGGTGCTTGCATCAATATTGTGGTGTCTGGTAGTGCTGCATGGACATCAGGTTTCCTCCTGGGCTGAGGTGAGTGCAACAACTATCTCGAAAGCTATATTTTACTGACAGTTGGGCTGTAAGGACTGAATTTTCAGGTCTGAGAGAGCCTAGAGAGTTTAGCTGGCAGTCAGACTTTTAGGAGGCCAGGTACCAAAGGAAGTTAAATGGGCTAAAGGATAGATGCTGCATCTTGCTTATGGATGAGTATGAACCTCTGCTGGCTCCTCAAAACACTGCTATTTGGACAGATTCCATGAAAGGATATTTAGTAACTTTTCATTTAGTCAAGCTCTGCACTTTGGTTTGCACAGAACCATTCAAGCATACGTTAGAGATAAGTCAGGGGAATGCTATTTGTGATCATGAATTATTCTTAATGTGTTTTGCAAATCTGAGCATACATACCTAAGATCCAAATGATTTTTTTTGTTTGTTATGTGCTATCCAGTTATTTATGTGAAACCAAACAGTACCTACAAATCCTTCCAGAAGCAGTTCCTGAGGGCTAGTGCTTACTTCCTGACCCTGGTTTGGGACCTCTTTGGTATCCTGTGATCTGGTTAGCCCCGAGTGAATATGCCCTCATTGGGAAGAGTGGCTTGACTAGGCAACTGTCTCCTTTTTCTCTATTGGTGTTGGGCTAAATGCACCTCTGGGGAAATCCCTGTAAAACAGCCCCTCTTGGATTCATATGGTTTCTCTGCACAGGTTCACCATACACATGGGTGAGCAGCTGGATTTGATATTTGTATTTTCTCAGCTAGAAAGAGCCATGGCCATATGAAAGTAAAGAAATGTATTCAAAATGATCAAATCCTTCCCCTGAACCATTAATATGGATGCAAACCATATCAGTGGAAACATAGTATTTTAAATTGGGAAAACACACAGATGTTTTTCAGATGAAAGCAGATTCTATCTCACAAATATTACCAGTAATACTACTGTCATAGAGAGCCTCTGCAGGCTGCATACCATATGTTTCTACAGTTTGCTACAGGAACTACAAGAAATCTGTTTAAACATTATTATGTAAAATATGAAAAGCTAATTAAATAAAACATATCAATAATTAGGCAACCCCATTTTCATAAATTCTTGAAATATTTTTCCATGGACATCAATGTAAGTATATACTTGCTCAAGTATATAGAGGATAGGGCTTCCTTGACATGATTTTTTTTTTTTCTAGTGTCGATTTTCAAGATGTTGCTCTGGGAAACACCAATTTGCCCAAAAAATGGAAGATGGCCTAAAATAACATGGAATAAAATTTGCTAACTTGATGCAAAAGAAGGAAAGAGTCATTTAAACTCATTCTGTGATGTGCATGTGAAGTTCTGCACCAGAATTAGATGAGAAGTGAGAAAAATTATCAAGAATGGTTTGACAGTTTCTAAATGGAATTTTACATTGACTGCATTTATACCTCTTCTAATCTAATTGTCCACAACAACCATACGAGCAAAGCATTGTTCATACTGTGCTTTTGAGGGCTGGATTTGGGTCAATTCTCGTTTGTCAAGCATCAAGGCACCCTTGAGATATAAATGCAATTATAGGCATTTTACAGATGAATGAGTGAAGGCAGTAAAATGGTGAGGGACTAGTTTGAGGGAGCAGCGCAGAGAAAGGCACAGCCAGGTGTTCTGATTTCCTGATGCTCCAACTAAGTGTTAAACACTGGAACGCTGCCTGTCTTTCATAACATGAAAGTTTGATTCTATACTTGTTTTCCTTGCTAAAGAATGACTTCATCCATAAAGGTAAAATAAAGTATATTTGCAGACTTGTATAACTGGGTCCCATATGGTGAACTGAAAATCTGATCAGATTTATTTAGACTAAAAAGAAAGAAAGAAAGGAGTATCTCAATAAAACTATCTGTACCAAAAAAAAAAAAAATCAAATCATAAGTTTCATCTCCCATCGTATTACAGTCCAATCCATGCCTGCCTTTCTAGAATACCCTCCAAATCTGCATCCCAGGGCATTTTGTGCTCATTAAGAGTTAATTAGCTTAGAGGCACACACAATTCCTAAAAGAATCATTTAAAAATGCTAAATAGAACAAATAACTTTTAACTTTGGATTTAGAAATCCCCACAGTAGAGCTTTCTTTACTTCATTTGGCAGTAGGTTCCAAAGCCAGAGAGCAAAAAGACTCACTAAAGGCAGAATAACGACATGACTTCAGATAACATTTAGGGATGATAAGGCATTCAGCATTCACTGATCTCAAGGAGTGACCTGGGACATTGAAGAATAGTAAATCCATTAAATGTGAAGCCACTAAGCTAAAATAAGTCAGGCAAATATTTTTGTCTGGAATTCATTGCCTAATAGGATGCCAGTGAAATTAATACGAAAAAAAATAATGGAGTGAAATGCATGAATATGTAGGGTGTGGGAAGCAGGAAAAAAACAACCTAAACCACAGTGTTAGATCTAAGAGGACATTATTGTATTAACTTTGGATATTCCAAAGTACCAAGTAAAGAAGGGAAAAGAATAGTCTATTTTCTCAAGTGATGAAAACTAAGGAGTAAAGGGATGCAGGGCTCAGCCTATTAAGGAGTTTGATCATCTCAGAACTGATGCATGTAGTCCGGCTTTACTGTAGAGTCCTAAACGATCAAGTGCTGAAAGTTGTCCTGGAGGCAGAGCTGAGAATAGGGCTAGTTTCCAGATTCATATCTCTATGGCACGAGAAGTGAAGCACGCTGCCTTTGCCTCTACTACACACTGAACAGCTACTTGACTGGACCCAGTCACATGCACAGAAATCAGTGACAGTATTTCCACCTGGTTAGAGACATTAGTCTAGCTTTGAATATTTTAACAAATTCAGAAATGGTTGCAAATATATTTGGTACATTTGGGGCAGATACAATGGAGATTAATATTTGGTAGACCTATCCTTGCTCAGTTTATAAATAAAGATTTAATTCCAGTTTTTCTTGCCTTATGATTATCCAGTAGTCCTAGACTACTAAAAGATACCTATCTAGCTGATGTAGGTTATCATTCTTGATGGCTGATAAAAGCCAAATAACTATCAGCAGTCACCATGAGACCGGCTGAAGTCTTGATAATGGTAGAAAGCAGAAAGATGCAGATGGTCAGAACTTTGATAATTTATAAAAAAGCCCACCAGAAGATACAAGTTTGCATACCCTCAGAGCACTGGGACAAAGGTGAGGCTTAGCAGTAAATCTCCTTAGAAGTTCAGGATCTGATCCAAACCTACCTGAAGTCAGTGGAAACATATCTGACTCAAAGGAAACATATCTGACTCCAGATAAGGCACTATCAGCAAAGATGTTTTAGATATCTGCTCATCTTTGAGGGCTAGGTGCCAGGGAAAGCTTTTATGGACCACAAGAAGGATTATTCACTAGAAACTGCATACAGTAAAAGTGTCATAATTTGAGGTATCTCGTCTGTCCACAAAAAAAGAGACACTGACATATTGATTGTTCTGGAAAATACTAAGAAGAAAAGACAGTCACAGACAAAATGAGGTGCTGGGGACAGCAAGCCCTTCATCTGGCAATGCCAAGGAGGGCTTGGCCACAACGGCTTTGGGTGCAGGTATCTCACTAGTTGGGAGGAAAGTGTATGGCTTTCTGGAAGAGCAGAACTTTCCAGTGCTGAGTTTCTTTCCTGTCCCTCACTTTGGCTTGCTTGCTGTTAAAATCTTAGCTTTCACAGGTCCTCATTTTTTCTTCTGTACAAACAATATTCAGCTCAGAAACAATTTCTCCCAAATCAAAATTCTGCGCATTCTGATCAATATAGTAAGTGATGAGTAAGTCAAGTGAAATTGCCAGACTCTGGACACTGACATCCAGAGTCTGTTCTCAATTATTCTCAAGGCACTGAGGTCTATTTCTTTAAATGATCTGATGGAAACAGCAGTTACTTGCTCAGGCACCTGCCCCGAAGAGAAAAAAAAAAAAAAAAAAGAGCTAATAATACTAAACCTTTCACTGAGAAGGAAGACCATGAGATCTCACCGTACTTAATGAGTTCCATTTGGTGTAGGTAAGTAGGGTAGAAAAATGAAAAACAGATATCATATTACTAATAATCTGGACTGTGTTTTCTGAACTACTGAACTATCCTTGATTACCATATCAAATTATCAGTGTTACTCACAGAGGAACATCAAGCTTC